CTGCCCGCCCCCGGGCCCGCAAGGAGGCGCGCGCCGCGCTGCGGGACCACGGCGTGCCCCGCGGTGAGCTCTGCGCTGGCCGGGCCGGCCGCGGGGGTCTCATCTCTGCCGCCACCCTCGGCTGCGCGGGGCCCAGTGCCTCCGCTTTGGTGTTGGGCTCCCATGGGGGCGCTGCAGGGCAGGGTCTGAGAGGCCTCATCCCTTTGCAGATGCAAGGCGTAAGCTCATGGAGCGTTTTGACCCTGTGTGTTCGGTGGTGCTGTTGGAGCGTCTGGACACCCCAGTGACAAGATTCATCCTTAGCTACCCAGATTTCTCCCACCTCTTCAGGGCAAAGGTAAGTGCATATCTGTTGTCTTGGCAGAGTTCAGTCTCCTTAGCTTCTGGGCATCTCTTGGGAAATGTCTGCTTGTGGCTTTCACTCATTTTTTGACTACCAAAAAAATAAGAGAGTGGTTCTTGTGACCGTGACCGGTCAGAATGTTTTTGACACTATGGATTCCTATTTGAAATCTTGGGGTATATCTTGCAAATCACATGCAAGTGCTTGGACACCTAACAGTGTAAATACTGAATAGCACGCTGTGGTGTGATCTCACGGTGGTCTGGTTGTACTCTCTGATTACCTGATGAAACTTACCCAGGATAATTGTTTTAAGAGGATATATATTTGTCACGGCTTTGCAAAGAAGAGCAGTTATAGAACTGTAAAAATTTTACAACTGTGAAAGTATGTTAGAAATACGTCTTAAATTAACTTCCAGGGAAGTGTGGATTATGCGGCTGAGATTCCTCACTGATTTATGGTCAGTAATGTGACAGCATGGTGCCACAGTCTGGGCAAATACAGCAGTAGATGAATTATTTTGCATGTTCTATTACATAAGCTTCTGCTTAAAACATTGTTTACAGATGTACTTGTTGACTTCCAGAAACAAAGAGTACCTTGCTTCATACCAGAGGATGCAGCTCTAGCTTCTGTTGGCATTTTAAAATGTGATCCTGAGAGTGGCCTGCTTGTGTCAGAGAGTACCATCCTGGCGATTGAAGAGTTAGTCCAAGCATGTCGTGGTGAGTACATTAAATCGATAGATGTTCAGTTTTTCAGTTGTTCAAAGAAAGCAAAACCTTGACTGTTTCATAAATTGAAGCCAGTGAAACTCGGGCCCTGGAAACAGTAGACCTTAAGTCCTGTTCCTTTAAAGCGTTTTTTATCTTGCATTAGCTGAATTGAGTGTCAGTTGTCTCATTTTGATGTAATCAGTGAGACAGGATGATATTTTCTTCTAAAGTGTCCTGCCGATTTGCTACCAGAACTGAGGCAAAATTTAAAAGGGTTGATTTTTATGTTGGTTTTATCCCTTTGTTAAACACAAGGTAGCGAGTCTATTAATCTAAGAACTGTAGTTCTCTTTGTACGTGTAAGGCAACATACATACCAACAGCCATTGCTACCAATGGAGGCTGAACTGAATACCTGTATTGGCAAAGCATCAGGTATCATGAGCATGCTGAGCAAACGTGTGTGGAACAACAACAAACTGACTGTGAGGACCAAGGTCAGAGGATATTATGCTTCCATCATCAGCACCCATTTGTATGGCAGCAAACCCTGGACTACATTCTCTACTCAAGAAAGGGGCCTCAATAGCTTTCACTTATGTTGTCTTTGCTGCATTCTAGGAATTTCCTGGTGGGACTAAGTTACCTACACTGAGGTCTTGGAACATGGCAACCTTCTAAGGATCCGTTCTCTTCTCAATCAGCATTCAGGACTGTTAGATATGAATGTATCAAGTGAAAATGCTGAAGGGACAGTCATTCAAAAATAGGGCTCTACAGCCACACACGCAGATATTCAATAAATTGATGCCTCAGTCGGTGCAAATCTGTTGCCTTATGAAACATATATATGTATATGTATGTTTGAATTTATTTATCCTGATGAAGCAAGACATTTCCACTTCACAAAACTGCTATCCATGAAAATATTTGATTTTAGTATCCAAGTGAAAAAAGTTAAAATACAGTTAATTTTCTAACAGGACACATCAGACTAATTCATAATCATTGTCCATTTCATTATATGTTTTTTTTTCCAGAGGAAAATGATGGTATCCCTGTCATTCTGGTGTGTGGTCCAAAATGTGTTGGAAAGTCAACATTTAACAGATACCTTATTAACCTGTTGCTGAATCAGTGAGTAAGGTGTTTTTGTTTGTTTGCTTTTTAACTTAAGATTTTAAATTAAGCATCATATTATGGTTTTGACAAAAGAAAAATGCCTGTTATGATTATTTGTAAATAATGTGGCTTGGGATTTTTAAACTATTTTAGCCTCACCTTACTTATTTGAAACCTATTTACTTAATCTCTTCCTGGTGCCTGACTAGTTTGAATGTTCCCTAGAGTATTCAAAACCTTTTCAGCCACCAGCCTTCAAGGCTGAATGAGAATCTATTTTACAGGTGGAATATTTTGAAGCTGAAGGTTTTAACTTACCCAGTGTTTCATGCTTCTTGATGAAACTAGTCTTTTGCCTTTTTATTGTATGTGTAAAATAAAACTGGTTTTTGTTTTGAGGTCCCTGTTGATCTGAACTTTGATTAGGACCAGTTTAGTAGTCACTTCTCCAGACTCGAGTGGTACAGGTCTAGTGCATACAAGTCCTGCTAATGGTGCCTCATGCTATCAACGTTAGATTCTCCCCCACATATTTTTTTTAAAAAAAGGCATTGATGCTTGGGCTTCTGTTGTAGCCTCCCCTGTGTTGAGTATTTGGAGTGTGATCTGGGACAGACAGAGTTTACACCACCTGGCTGCGTGTCCTTAATGAACATATCAGATCCTTTTCTGGGTATGTAACTTGCTTTGTTTTTAATATCATCAGAAGTATATTTTGCTTTCTTAACCTAACCTATGCATTATTTTTTATTCCTATGCCTTCAAAGAGCCTAGTCCCTCTACCAAAGGTTAAAAGGAAGAAAAACAATTGTTTTCATGCAGCAGGGGACTGAAGTCCAGCAAGGTGATATCTCTTAAAACAAAAAAAAAACCCCAAAACCCAAAGACAGAAATACAAAGCGTGTTATCCTCCCAGCTTCCTTCGTATATTTGAGAGAAAGAGGGAAGGAGGATCTCTTAGGTAGAAGGTGCTGAACTGTGACATTACAGAAATGAATTGTGGCGTAGATTTCTTGTGGCTCTTAAATCTCTGCATTGCTCTGCCTAGTTTTCCTATCTGTAAGAGTTAGTGTTTCTGCACTTCAGTGAAGTAATAGTGTTTGCAGGATGGGCAGATACAGTGATATAAGTCCTAGACGTCATCTATTGGAAGTGAAAAGAGTGCACAATTTCTTTTAGGCTTTGTGCTTTAAAGAAATCTGTGTGCACAGTGTTGTGGGGTTTTTGTTTCCATTTCTCAGCTTGGTTTCATAATGAGAACTTGATAATTTTGGAGGGTAAATAGGAGGAAAAATATTGTTTAAAAAATCGCAAGCGATGTCTGCCGGCAGGTGTGACCTTTCATGTCTTCAGAGCTCATTGGTACCTAGCTATCAAAATGTAAGATGTATATTCGTCTATTTTTTGAATAGGTATTTGACTTCGGCTGTTCTTTCATAAAGGAGGGAAGAAATTAACATGTTCACACAATGGCATTTTAACTTGCACCATTCTTCTGTTATTACAATTTAGCATGTTTCTTCTTTACTTTTCTTCCCTTAAACTAAATGCTGTTCAAGATGTCTTCTAGAATAGTAAATGATTTATAAACTGTACTGTTTAAAAACATGATAGTGGATTTATATCTTTTGACACCCAGACATGCAAACTAATCCTCTCATATGCACTGAGACAAGTGCATTGGAATAGCTAGAGAACTTTATTTTTAAATAAAAAGCGTCATATTCCAAAACAGTGTGCACATTTTGATGCAGGATGTTGGGGAGTAATTCCCATGAGATAAGAGAGCTCAGTATAGAAGTAGGGACCCACTATGTGCTTCAGGAGATGAGGTTTTTTGCTGACTTTTCATGGCAGCTCTTTGCTGCAGTTACGGAAATGCTTCTTTATATTTGCTGTTCATCCTCTGGTACTTTTTTCTCAGGTCCTCCATTCACTCATCAGCGAACACCACGTAAAATGGTCTATTATGGAGATGTTAGTTGTGATCAGGATACTGAGCGATACATTGATACAGTGAAATATGTGTTTAATTCCTACAAGAAGGAAGTGCCTTTAGTCATCAATACCATGGGCTGGGTGAAAGGTGAGCCAGCAGAGGTTTAGCTTCGAGTTACAGAATGAATCTTCCAGTATAACTCTAAAGTATGCATGCTGCAATGCTCTTTTATTTTTTTTAATATTGATTGAGACTACGAGGTATGACTAATGCTGTGAAAATTGGTCTTAGGTCTTCAGTAACTAAGATTCAAACTCTCAAGCTTTTTCCCTGGTGTCACTGTATTACCCATATGAAAATGGTGTTTATTTCCCCTTTCCCAAAGGTGTTGGATTGCTGCTGCTGATTGATATCATTCGACTGCTGTCACCAAGTCACATTGTTCAGATTTCAGCAGAAGACTTTAAGGATATGCCTCAGTTTACCCCAGAGTATATTCATCTCACTGCTGGCCTGCACACTAAAGGCAAACTGCAAGCCACATGCAAGAGCATGGATATGGGTGGAACAGAGAATTGGCAGCCCTGTGAAGGAGAGAGAGACTTTCAGACATCAACTCCAGGGCATAAATTATTGTGTGTTAAACCAAAGTTTCCTGGAGCAGGCGATGCTGCCAAGGCGTAAGTACACAGCTACAGTCATGGAGTATTTCCAGCAGCTTGAGTTATTGAGTTTCATAAACATAGCTTTTATGTTAAGAATAGTTGTTACAGAATGCTGCTTTTCCAGCATCTGGCCAGATCCTTTCACTCTGTTCTTTGAGGAAACTTACTTTTAAAGAACAATTGCAACAGAAAACTGTGTTCCTTGTCGCTCATCTCATCACCTGAGTCCTATTTTTGTAATATCAGGGGGATAGCCAAAGCCTCCAATAGAAAGTAGATTAATAAAACTTAACTGGGATAACTAATTTGCCCAACAATTTTCTTCTGTTTTCTTAAAACTAATTAATAAAAAATGCCACTGCACATCAGGCTTGGAGAAGAGTTAAAATCTAGAAGTGCTGCATTTCTTTTACAGCTAAAATAAATTCACTTGAATTCTGGGAACTGTCAGGTGGTAAAGCATAGCTGTAAGTTGGTCCCAAGAACAGACACTGAAGTTTGAATCTCTCTAAAATACTGGCTGTAATAAACACTGCATGGCATGTTCTGAAATGGGCACTTCAGAGTATTTGTGTTTTGAGTTGCCAGAGAACAGATTTTAATCTCTGCTTGATTTTTGTTGTGTGTGTGTATGTGTGTGCACTTGTCCTTCTAGACGGGTCCATAGCAGTATCCTACGGGATATGGCAATGTTGGGTTACCTTGGCCAGCTGCAGCCCCTGGAAACAAGATCAGTGCTTCCTTTACACAGTCTGGTCCCCTATCAGGTAATTGAAACATACACCTGTTTTGGTGAATACATTCAGAATGTTGGCTTACAGTAAGCAAGAGCCCCATTGTAATGTTTCATGGTGGGAAAGAACATTTGTAGTGTGTAAAACCTCAATCATCCAATTTTAAAATATTATGCATCTCTCAAAATAAGTGCTAGAAAACTTGTATCCTGTTTGTGTCCTATTCAGCCGTTCTGTGTTGCATGCCAGAAATGCAGGGTTCACAGTGTCACATTCAGATTGTGTGCTGTGACAGTGTTTCAAACAACTAAACCAGCATTGTCTGAAAATCAAGCTGTTTGAGCTGAGCTAATGATCCAAGGGTTTATTTTCTAGGTACCATTTAGTGCTGTTGCACTCAGGGTTATTCACACAGATGTGGCTCCTAAACACATCATATATTCAGTGAACGCTAGCTGGGTCGGTCTCTGCAGGATACCTGATGAGGTCAGATGCCAAACTGATGGGCCAGTCTTGCTGACACAGACACCAGTCTGTGATTGTCTGGGCTTTGGTGAGTCCCTGTGTTTAATTAAAGTAAAATTCCCATTTCTGTTCGTATGTTGACACTGCAGCTGAAATAAGTCTTTTAATTTTTAAGTAATGGCTTTATTTGCTCTTTTAAAATTAACTTGAAAAAGGCATAGGTAAAAATAAACATTTGCTACTTTTCCTAAGCTTTTTATTTCCACTACAACCCGAGCTGGGAGACCTCTGTCTTATTTTAATTAGTAGCAATGGTTACAGTTAAAGAAAACTGCTTTGTAACCTAGTTGCCTATTCTCACTTACTCTTTAACTTTCCAAACTGTTTACATTTGGTTTCAATTCTTCAGAAAGACTTCTGCAAAATCTGTCCTGCTTTTTGGGCCTGTGGTAGTTTTAGGTACATGCTCAACTCAGAGAAAAAAAAATAACCACAATTCTTGAAAGAGGGCAGTCACAAAAATGGCTGCACTCCTGCCCCTTACCTGGACCTGATCCTCATTAAGTTCTCATTGAGTTTGGAAAAGCCTGATTTTGATGCAGTAATTGCTGTTGGTTATCTCTGAGGAGCCTCCTGGGCTCCAGCAAACAATGAAACTAAATTGAAAAGCCACAGTCAAGAAAACACAAAATCGGAGCCAGAAGCAAAAAAGGTTTGGGTTTTCCAAAATGCTGACTTTCCTGCCTTATACATATGTACAGTTCCCCCCCTTGAGCAAGTTTTTGTTTTATATGCATTTAATGATAAACATCAGTGTGTTATCACCAGGGATCCTGGTTTTCGCTGTTAAAAATGGGAAATTCTCTGATTAAAAAAAGCCCGCAAAGTCTGTTTTTTCCGTGATTAAAATGAAATGCCACTATATATAGGTATCAGTTGAACACAATGTTTTATTGATTTACTAACATTTTTAAAGCAATGTGGAAGCCTGCCAGTGCCTCAATCACTATAAAAAAAATTCTAAATACCTATCTATTTTGGCTTCTGTTTTTGTTTTTTTCACAAAATCAGAGCTCCCTCTGCTCCTTCACTCACCAGCATACAGGTGCAGCCGTGGCTGTTATCCATCCCCCCCCCCTTTGCTTTGTGGTGCTGAGCAGCCCTGATATACCAGTGCCCTGCTGCTGCCATTGCCTCTCACACCGAAGCCACAGCCCCCCCCCAGTCCTTCCAGTGCCCCTCACTCCCAAACCACAGCCCCCTCCTGGAGGGGGGTTCCAGCTGCCAGGGTATGAAGCAGTGGACCTGGGTCCACAGCCCCCTGCCTCCCCACAGCAGCATCTGAGCCCCAACTGTCGCTCATGAGAGGTAGCGGCTGCTGCAGCCAAAGCAAAGCCTGGCTCCCCCTGCTCTGCAGGCAGCATGACTGGAGTGGAGTCTTGAGTGGGGCAGAGTGCAGTGCTGCCTGCTGCAGACTCAGGGCTCCCTGCCCTGCTGCCCTCCCCCTGGGGACCTCTGCAGCCCAGCCGGTGAAACCTGGCACAGGGGGACAGAGCAGAGTACAGAGGCTTGGTGCTGTTGCTGGAAGCCCCATGTCTCCATGGCAAGGCACCCCCTGCCCACCCAGGAGCAGTGTGGGGCACAACTCTACGCTGCCACCCCCGCTGCTGCCAGGTGGGCAGGGAACACCTCACCATGGCAGTGCAGGGCTCCTAGCAGCTGCACCAAGCTGAGCCTCCCCACCCTGCTCTGCCCTGTTGGGCTGGGTCCTGCCTGCTAGGCCATAGAGGCCCCCAGGGGGAGGGCAGCAGAGCTGGGAGCCCCCCTAGGTCTGGGGGGCACATGTCCCTCACGCCCCCCCAGAATGTACGCAGTGGCAGGCAGCCTGACCCCCGCCCACAAGCCACCTCTGGCTCCATCTTGCTCCCCAGCCAAGCCCTGTGGCCACACATTCCAGCCCCAGATCTCAAGCCCCTGGCCCCACACACCACTGCAGCTGGATAGTGCCCCCAGCCCCAGCACAACACCCTCCCTCAGTATGGGGACCTCAGTCACGCACCCCTCCTCCTCCCCCCCCCGCCCGACTTACCTGGAGAGAGTTGTAGGAGCTGCCCTTCATGCTGCCTGGCTGCCCGGTGCATGTGTGTGTGCACACATACATGTGTGGCCCCTTCCTGATTGCCCTCCTCCCCTTCCCCCCAGCCCCTGCCAGCCTGCAAGGGGAAACTCGGAGTCTCCCATATTTTAATCCTTAAAAAGAGAAAATCTGTGTTTTTCCATGGATTCCTGGTTATCACTCACAACAAAAGAAGTTGTTACTGGAATCTACATCTTTGTATTGTGTTATATGACTTCTGGCTGTTCATTTTTGTTCAGAAGTAACCAGCTGTGTTGTTTACAAGTCTAAAGATTCTGTTACTGCCCATAGAAAGCATCAGCCTGGAGTCAGTATCTAGGGTTTTGGAGTTTGATCAGGATCAGAACAGGCGAGAGCTTACAAATAAAAATTGCACAAAAATTCTATTACCAGTCTTATCAGGAGCCTGATTCTTGTTTAAATGAGAGCTACTGCACTGGGAAAGTATCATTCCATTGAGGGAGTTTCAGTTGTGCAATGACTACAGTCTGCAGAAGGTTTCTGACTGAATTTTTAATGTGTTTTAAAGGAATTGTTCGAGGAGTTGAGATGGAGAAGAAGCTTTACCATATTCTGACTCCAGTGCCTCCTGAAAACCTGAGAGTAGTGAACTGCCTGTTGCTTGGGAATATTGCCATTCCCAGCTGTGTCCTCCTGAACCAGGTAGGAGGCATTTGCATGGGTAGATTCCCTGCAGAGATGTTCATAAATGTGATATAGCTTTTGCTTTTCCTTGCATTACATGTACCATATTCTGAAGCCTGTATGAATCAGCACTCTTACCGCCCTTAGCTGGTTAGAGCCTTGAGATCTTGTATGAAATCATGACAGTGTTAAAATATTTAAACCAACAAGTGGAAATGCTTAAGACTGGAAAGTGAGCTGTGTTCAGAAATGTGGTGTTCAGAGATGATTGAGTGGCAAAATTGATACAGTCAGTCTGCAAATGAAAGGGAACAAAATAATGCTCAGACACCATGGTGACTTCAGTGTGTTCCTGTTTGTGTGTTTCAGCAGGGCATCGAAGGGGAGATCCCATATGTTACTTCTGAATATAATTACCAAATTTCAGGAGCGGGGAAGCTGAAAGTGAAGAAACACCTCCAGAGAAGAGAATATAACAGGCCATAGTCTCTCCTCCAAGCCTTCCATTGCAGGACTTCCTTCACTAAGAGGCAAGTCATGTTCCCAGGAACTTGACCCATTCCTGGAAGACCCTGCCGCACAGACTGTATGAGGAAGATGGAGTGTCCAGTTGGGATGTTGTTATGTTCTCCTCCCAATGTTGTTCTTTTATATTTTTATTATGTACTTCTGTGTTTTATAGTAAACGTCTATTAAAAACATCAGTTTGAGTTATCTGTTTCAAACTCTGCACTGATCCCCACATACAGAGAGCAGCTCACTTTCCACTATCCAAGAAGGGTGTATTTTAGGGGAAATTCTTCAGTGTTCTGTGAGCTGTACGGAAAGGGAGTTGTGGAAGGAGTCTTTCCTCTGTTTGGCTTTTTAAGCTCTCTGGCTAGCTCCAGTTCTCTCTGCTGAAATGCTCATAATCTTGAGGCACCCCAAATTTCTTCCTTTTTGTTGGTGTTTACAGTGATAAACTGTTTCTGGATTTATATCCAGTTCATATCTTTGGATCATCTACAAAAAAAATGTTTTGTAACTTTGTCGAAGGTAATAACTTCCTACATGTGGCCACTAGAGGGGGTTGAGTTGTGTCAAATGCTGTGGCCTTAAATGTACAGCAGGTTGAAAACGGTGCTTATATCATTCAGTGATGTTTGCTATTAAAAAGGTAAATCTAGAAAGAGGTGATTGACCAACTTTGACAATGTCTGCTATGAGCTTAATCAGCTTGTATGGCATCTTTTGTTCAAGCCAGCATAAAGATGAAACTGTTCTACTAGTAGCAGATATGTCAGCTGGAGAGGTTTACTCCAAAAATACTTGCTCCTGAAAAATAATACTGAGAAAATGCTCTTAATATCAGGGCTGAAACAAGAAATACAATGTAGTTCTAATTGATAGGTTGCAGTGAGTAGGGTGTCCTCAAGTCTTCACTAGATGCATTGCAACACACAACAGCTTTTAGGCTCTGCACTTTCTTCCTGTTGTCATTTTGGAAACTTTTATCCTCGCTTGTTTTGGCTATCGGGTTTGTTTGGAGCATGTTTTTATTGTTAAACCCTGAAAGCATTTGTCCATTTACTCTTGCTCCATCTAGCTTATGTGCCACCAAGCTTTCTCTGAATCAGTTGTGCTTGGAAAGGTGAACGGCGATACAGGCAGTCTTTGACTTGCAAAGTTTCGAGTTACAATGTTTTGCACTTGCAACATTTATAAATTGACACCCTGTTTCAACTTTATGACATCAATTTCGACTTAGGACGCTTGATCCGATGCAACGCCATGCCAGTGAACATGTTCTCTGCGTCGCCTATCTTCCTGGAGAATGTCTGTCCAAACGTCCTTGGACACTTGCTTTAAGAAAGCAGCCAAGACTCCTGAGAAGACTCCAGCCAAGAACCCTTTAAAAAGTCCAACCAAGAGCCTTTCAAAAAGTTCAGCAAAGTCACCTCAAAGAAGTCCTTTCAAATCAATATGATTGCTGTTTACAATATAAATACATTAATGCAGCTGTAATTTTACACAGGCTACTTTCACACGGCATAGATTCTGCTAAGAGAGTTAACATGCCATCTCCCAGGCAGGCAAGGCCTGTGTGTCACCACCAAACTTCAGTTGGGATCAGGGTAGCTCAAAGACAAAAAATTGTTCCTTTCTGCAGTCTGTGGGACTTGTATCCCGTGGGAAGGGTCTCAACTCCACAGAAATCCAAGCTCTGAAAGGAGGAAGCGTGTGGTCTTCTGCTGAATGTTAGATTCTTAAACTGGCCTGTCAAACCAGCTCTGCATAACCCAGCAGCACCCTAAAGGATGACTTCTGCCTAGTCTGTCAGGAAAAGGTGCTGACACCACTAATGACCCAGAAGCAAATGCATGTAAATAAGGAAAATTCAGTAATGCGGCCAACTTCACTAGAAAGGCCCTGGACAGTCTATCTACAGCATTACTGCCTTTTAAAGAGTTAAAGCTTTAACTTAATCCGGTCTTAATTCTCCCCATCTGGCTGGATCTGGCAGCACAGGAAAGACTTGGCTGGCAATCTAGCCTGAACAGTGGCTAAAATAAATATAGAGGCCATCTGTGCAGCAAAGGAAAAAATTGCATGTGAAAGCCAGGGCCTCCTCAGACAGACCCTGCTAAGTTAAATGCATACCCAGGGCTTTCTTGCAAAACAAGGGCCAGTGGGGGAGGTGGGGAGAGCTCAGAGGAAACAAACTTTCAGTTGTGAAAGGTAAGTCTGCTCTGTGAAATGTCCGTGCTGAATAAGCCTCCTATCCAAAAGGGGGAGGGAGGGAGGAGCAAGGGGCACAATGATGCTTCTCTGCCCTGGAGCAGCTTGTTGCTGTGGTAACCCATCCTGCTGCTGTTGTGATGCTCAATGGCCTGTGGTTGGAGCTTTTCTAAGGGATTGGGGCTCAGCTTCAGCCGGATGAT